TTTAAAAGGCTCCTTACGCAAAATCAGAATAACTTAGCGAGTATGTAGGTACTATAGGACTTTCGCCTTGACATTAAGGGGAGAAGGAGCTCCGTGTGGGCAAACTGTAGTTCAAAAAATTAGAACTCTATTCGGATAACGTGATCCCACAAGCAGTCCTTTGTAGGCCCCTTCAGCGCCTTCTTGCCCTCTTCTGCAAGCACCTTTTAGTCCCTGGCCAAAAATTCTTGACGTTCGAAGGTATGCTAATAAATAGGGGCTGAAATTGGTCAATGAACGACCGACCGATGATGGGCATCTAGTGATGATAGTACCTTGATGAAACCAAATTCAGGCTCTATGTACTGGAGTATGCCAGCTGTTGCAAGCCGAGAATAACATGTGGACGGATATGAAAGTAGGAGTCATCTGCTTCATTCGGGATCCGACCAACAAAGAGGTGATTCTTTGATTTGTTTTATTCTCTTCACTATATGTTATTCTAAGAGTACCTCTACCGTTGGTGGGAATTTTGGCAAAATACGACCCTCCAGAACTCCTTTTTCTGGTACGACCTCCTCCTTCCCTCCTCCCCCCCTTTCCCCATCCCCCATTCTATATTTCATCTTTTTGAATGTTCCCAACTTTCGCCCATGCTTTTCGAAGTTTTTCCAAAAAGTCCTTCATGTTACCTCAGAAAACCCTAAGGGGGAAGTGGGCGTGAACATTTTTCTCAAAGGCAATTATGACCCCATCCCTCCCTCCAACGACCCAAATATGTACCTTCCTGGAATCCCCAATGTACAACGTGCCCTGGTTATCCCACATCGAACCATGGTGATGATGCTCCAGATGCTCCAGATTACTGGGATGTTCTTCTTTTTTGTGTCAGCGGTATCGGAAGGTGAAACTCCTTGCTGACTCAGAAAGAGATGGCCCCACAGTTGACAACAATACCGAGGCTCCTTTGAGAAAGAAGCTAAAATCTAGCTCAAGAAAACCTTCAGAGTGGTCTATACACTTCAGATACTACAGATACCCCTTTGGGTGCGTAACATGGCTCTGAAACATGTCCCAAGCCAAAACTATGTCATCGATTCTTACTCACGGGACTGCATAATTGAGGAATATCCAACGAAGAGTGTTCTATTCGCCTGTGGGAGAGAATGTCGCACTTGGCAAGCTGATACTTGTCTGCGTGAATCTGTCAGGAGGAGGGGAGGGGGAGGTGAATGTGACGAGAACGATGTAATGCCAGAAAGGTGTGTACTCTATTCACTTGATAAATGATAGGATTTTGATATGATTTCTCTATAGTGTTATGATCTTAAAGGCAGTTGGCACGAGGATTTGGTGCTCGGCCTAAAATGCTAGTTAGGGCGCTATATAGTGGGAAATGCGCGCCACGAAAGAACGGAGTGAAACGGTCAAAATCCTGCGAAGAAAGAGCCTCCGTTCTCAATGTGTTCAAAATCAATTTTGGACGAGTTTCCCGTAGGCATCTTGCCAATAACCGCTACCGAAGGTACGGCTGCATATGTGTACTCATATATCCATGCAGCATCACGGCCGCTTCATACCAATCCCTTCGCTTCATAATTTGCTTAGCAAATGAATCAATTAGAGCGTCAGGAACGGTCGTCCATTTGTGGGCGGGCGGGCGTGGCGGGCGTTTGGGTCGGTATGTTGTGGCTTGATAGGGCCCTTATAAGGGCACCTCCCTTGGAAAAGGCATTATGCAGCGCCTGCTCAGGGTCGCGGAATTCCGTCCTGCCAGGCGTATTAATCCTACTCGTCTTGGGGGATTTATCGTGCCAACTGCCTTTAATGGCTATAATCCTTTGTACAATTTTTCTTTCCAAGTTTTGGAGGGGGATGACTGATAAGCCATGGGTGGCATGTTCTACTAGCCCAAAGAGGTGCAAAAACATCCAGTATATCATTCAAGGAATCCATTTCAGTACGTGCTATCATTGCTTCTTCCCAAACCAGATGAACAGCTTCCAGCTAAAGTGCTTTGGACCATGACCGTGTGAGTTTCAAACGTACATTTGAACATGGGATTTGAATGTCTATTAGTTGTCAAGTAACGTTGTTCAGAAAGTAATGATCAGTACAAAAGCCTGGGCATTTGAATGCTGCGATTAACGGGGGTTAGAAGGCGGGGGTACTCAAGAAGACCCTCCTGTGCCAGTTGCCTTTCAAGCCAGCGGCTAACGTAGCATGGCTTAGGAGCGAATAGGAACTACGACAGCCGCTGTGGTTATGTCCTTTCACATAATTCATAGGCTTAAGCTCAGGACAGTTAGGACTAAGTCTTCGTTGCGGGACTACCCTCGGCAACTCCCCTGTTTGCGCTATAAAACTCAGGCCGTTTTAGGAAGGGATAAAAAGACGCGGCCGAGTGAGTAACCCCTCCCCCCATTACGCCAGCGTCTTCAAGCCATGTATGAGCATAAGTTCCATTTTTCTAGAAGAAATTGAAATATTTTCAAGCGCTACCGTATTTCGAAGAGGAAGAGCCCGCATTAAAAGAAGGCCTTCGAAGACTTTGATCATCGGCGCTGTCCTGAGGCTGACAAATGTATAAGCTAAGGACGACAGTTGGTATACATTATCCCAAAACTGCGCGTAAATCAAGGGTTTAGATCTTTGGGGCAGTGCTGCTTACGTTAGAAAACCTATGGGGTATGTTGGGCGTACTCACGTAACTTGAACTCTTAATTCCATGCTTAGTCTTGGGATACTATGCACCGTCACGCACTTCATCGCGTGCGCTCCATCTCCCCCCCCCCCCAACCCCTTTCCCTCTCCTCCAGCCTGAGTATCGCCAACTTCTGGGTTCATGAAAGTACCTAACACCTTGTGATTGAGTTGCACCAAATTAGCGAAGACGATGTAGGGATATCAAAGCCCTATGAATGTTCCACAAGTTGCCCTACTACTACAACCCTTTCCTTAGAAGCTTTAAAAAGGAAAGAATTTCCTATTTCTCCATTTCCTGTTATTTTTTTAGCGCACAACGCCACAATCTACCCTGAGAATAATATCTTTTTAGAACCGCCTTCTTTGAGACGGAACGGACTAGTGACGAGCATTTGCTGACATTCATCATGGAAACGTTTCCGCGCGATGTTTGTGGCCTGAACTTCTATGATCCACGTGAAGCTGACGAGTTTCATCGGATACTTGTAGAAGAAAACCGAGGTCAGTGGGCGTTTGTAGACAGGGATATCAGCTGAGATACCCTCTGCGATTTCACTTATATTCAGGAAGAATCTCCCGACATGCTAATCGACCAAAGCGACAGGCACCACCACCACCATCAAAGGTGAGGGTCGACCTTATAATGTTGTTATCTTAATTATATTCAATTCAGCAAGGAAGAGACGTTTTAAGTGGTGTCACGCGTGCGACATTCGCACCAGAATCCAGTCGATTAAATGTTGCAATGCTGCTGCACTGCGCAATAAGCTAGGAAATGATCTGTCAGCTTGTGCGCGAAGCTGCGGCCAGGTTTTTGCTAAGCTCCGGGTGGCTTCACCATTTTTCAAAAACTGTTTTTGAATATCACCCGTACCCGTGCTTACTGGCGTGAGCCAAAATTCCCATTCTCCGTACTATTAGGCAACCAAAAAAGTTCGTGCGGTTTTTTTTTGTTTACTTTTATGAAGTATATTCAGTAAACTGGATCTAGTGGTAGGGTAACTTTGAATACATGTTAAGACATATGTCAAGGAGTGTCATTCAGTGTATTTGTTAATTTAGATTACTTTCAATTAAGGCGAACAGAAAAGGTGTGGTTTTCCACCAGGACAATGCAAGACCACACACTGCAAGAATCACTCAGGAAACAATAGCGCGACTAGGATGGGAAATTCTACCTCACCCTCCGTACTCGCCAGACCTTGCTCCAAGTGACTATCATTTGTTTTTGGCCTTGGACAACCACATGAGGAATCGGCGATTTGAAAATGAAGTGGCTTTGGACAACGAACTAAAACATTTCTTTAATTCCCAAAAGCAAGATTTTTACAAAAATCCAAGTTTAACCCGTTTTTTATGTTATTATTTCGCTACCTTCAAAACCGCACGAACTTTTTTGGTTGCCTAATAGTATCAAATGCCATGCAACCAGGGCACGTCGTAGGTTAGGGATCCCCACTTGGGTCGTATTTGGCCCTTACAGGACGGTGACCGAACAGCGGCATCTTCTGCGACCGGCGATGCTCCAGGACCCTCAAGGGCAAGGTACCGGGCAGTGGTAAGGCCTACAATGCTCTACGGCAGTGAGTGCTGGCCCATCTGCAAGAACCATGAAAGGCAGCTCCACTCAGCTGAAATGAGGATGCTGAGATGGGCCTGCGGCTGGACACGACTCGACAGAGTCAGAAACGAGACGGCTCCGATCCAGCTGAAGGCACGAGAGCAGCGACTGCGATGGTATGGGCATGTACTGAGGAGGCCTGAAGACCACCCAATAAGGAAGGCATTGGAACTCGAGGTAGAGGGCAAGCGACCACGAGGAGCCCCAAAGAAAAGATGGAGGGACGTCATCAAGAAAGACCTCACTGAAGTGAAGACCACGGCAGAGGACGCCCTATAGGAAAAGATGGCGACTGACAAGAACAGCGTACCCCGCGACGGAGCGGGATTAACGCTAGGGAGAAGACGATGATGGTGATGAAGAGAATGGAGGGGTGGTAATAGTCTCTGAAAGAAATTTGCAACCCTTACCCGTGGGATCCAACACGTGATGTAGTTTTATTGTCCGGGCACCGATTATTGGCACTATCTTCCCATTTTCATTCCTTGTCTCTCCTGTCAACTTTTTTACTCCAAGAAAACATTTCTGAGTTTATTGATCAAGACATCAGTCAGAGATCACCTCTCAAGCCAGAATGATCTTTCTGATATGAACTGTGTTTGCTGCTCTTTTCTGAGCAGACTTGTTTAGTAAATGAACACTCCGATGACAAGGCGCTTTTGATTCGAGTGAGGAATATTGATAAAACAATGATAACAAGCACAACAGACTGTGAAGTCAGCAAAGTCACTTTTTCGATGAATCAGTAAATATTGATTGACGTCACCGATTAAGCCAAGACCTCTTCAAACTTCAGCTATTTCGAGGGGACAAAGAATTTCGATTTCAGGTCGTGGGCGTGGAAGCGATCGACAGACTCTCTGAACTCTGTGAGTCAATTATTATTTAGCCTCTTGATTACCAAAGGCACTGTTATTTAAAAAAATTCCCCTTAAGACCGTGTACCTGTGCAGTATGTAAAGCTTGAAGAACGTTCTATGAGTAGCTTTAGAATGTTGTCTCAGACCGGCCTCTTCCATCTAAAATCTTGGAGGGACTTTACTTTCTCACACTAGAGCTATTTGATGTCCTGATTACAAGAATGACATTTATTCTTGGCGCCGGCGCTAATGTAAGGCACTCTGATCATTTGCGCTTTACAAAGGCTGAGCTTGGGAAATTACTCCTTCTCCTAGACAGCGGGGCGCTAAATGGCGCTGGTGTCGGAAAATGAATGCCACATTCGTGGTCAGGCATTAAAGAACTCATAATACTTTTAATGTGCAAGTGTTATAATATGCTTGTGCCTTACGAGGTTGATAGGTGGAACAATTTATTCAATATGGCCTAACGTTTCGACTGAATCGTCGTCATCAGAGGCCTGAATGTGTTTCAAGGATTAGATTGCGCTCTACTCCACCAAGCGCCTCGTCAACTCTAGCGGTTCCGACATCGTGTCAGGAACCCCTCGAGAAACCCCGTCATCGCGAAAGTCAACTCACCGACGGTTCCACCTTATAAGCGGCAGTGTCCGCTGCCACACAAGAGCGATATTAGTTGTAAATGAGGAATACTGCGCTGTCTCCGTATAATAAAATATTGTGGAGACGCACGTAGCGCTCTGTCATTCTACAGCTCGCAGTGTGGTATAAACGGCAGAAGGTCATTTGTTATTGCAGGACACTCATCTCGGCTGTTCATTCTGGGTT